GTTAAAAAGCGGAAACTTCCACGAACATGAAATCACCAATAAACTATGTCTATTTATCCAACATGTTATATAATACATACTGTATTTGAAAACTTTTCAGCTGTATGATTTCAGGACAGCCCAGCCACTCTCTTAGGAACATTACGGATTTTTGGTTGCGTGTGTTCACTTCGCTGCTGTTATTAACCCCTGTGTATGATAATAAAAACTTGCCTTGCCTTACTATAAGGAGACCGAGAAGCGTTCTCCTCAAGACCACACGAACAACTAAAAACTATATGCTGGAAACTAAGACATTCACAAGGTAACTCCATGAAAAGCTCTGTAAAAGTAGAAATGTGTTTATTTTATGATAAGATAACGTGAGCAAACTGGCTAGTAGTTGCATTTTAACTGAAAAAATTAACTCCAGTCATCAGAGAAAAAAGTTACTAACGCACTACATCAAAACATTTACATTGCAATAATGTATGGCATGAAATAAACTTGTAACTATATCATTCAGTAATACAAATAATAAAACAACATACCGTTCACATTGGCCTCAAGAACTAAGTTAGCGCTTGATTTCCCTGCACTTCCTGTTGTGGCTGAGCGTGCACCTGACGTCAGTGGCTGAAAGTACACGTTCTGCAGCCAGACCCTTCTCTCTCAAACTGTTTGTTTGCCTAGCTGCAGTGACCACGCAATGGGATTTGTAGTTTTATTACCACGCAGACACCAGTGCAGACCAGAAAACACAACCAACAGATTAGTTTTACAGCGTTTTACTATTTTATTTTTTGCGGACAACGCTTTTTGGGAATGAACGGAGGTAAGAATTTTAAGACTTGGGTAAATTAAATTTAAGACCTAGGATGAAAATCTGGGCATTTTATAGACATTTTAAGGCCTTAAATTTAACTTTCTGAATTTTAGACTTTCTAAGACCCTGCGGGAACCCTGTTATACCTCGGCATTCATTGGAAGCTCAGCCTAGCTGTACTTATGCCTTGTTGGATCCTTGACAGCAAGTATGTTTGCAATGTGATCTTTGCCTAGTACGTTGCTTTGGACAATGTACAATGTAAACGTAATCCAACATTTTTCAGCACATGAAAAATAGCACAAAAACTTTTTCATGCATTAATGTCTAGATATACTGCATCTACAGCTACAGGACCTGCATGGCTCTATCATGACTTACCTAGGCAAATTTTACTTGTAATCATTATATTGTTTATAGTCAGGACAAAATTTTAAATAGTTTGAGAAAAAAGTTGCACCGCTTTTACCTTTTCACTGAGCTCTGCATTTGTCAGTCTTGCAGCTTGCAGGTACTCCTCCTTTTGCTGGACATTGCCCTCCAAAGATGACATTGTGATTTGCATGATTTCACACTTTGCTGATGTCATTTCCACCTTCTGCTCCAACTCCGCCACAATGGACTGAAGATGCATCTTCCCCCTCTCAAGCTCTTCTTTTTCTGACTGAAGGAGGGACTGCTTTTCCTCTTTGTCGTCGTCTTTAAACATTTGCAGTTCAGCCACTTGTCGCCGTAACCTCTCGTTTTCTTCAAAGCTGACTTTCAGCTCACTCTGCTTTATCACAAGCTCTTCATGAAGCACCTGGGTTTTGGACTGCATATCTAACTGGAGCTCCTGTGTCTCCTGGAGCTTCTCAGACAACTGCACATTTTCACATTCAAGTGAAGATAGCTGGTATGTCAGGTCTTGCTCTTTGAGTTGCATAGATTCAAGGTCTTTCTGGCAAATTTGCAGGTGACTTTCCACTGCACTCAGTTTAGATTGGAGTTCTTCAGTGGTAACGTTCAAATTTACTTCAACTTCTTTCACTTGTCTTTCAATCTTTTGCAGTTGTTCTGTTTTTTGAAAAACTTCCCTTTCAAGTCTCTCTTTCTCACTTCTGAGGTCATTCTGATCTGCAGTCATTTGCTCAAATCTTTGGATGAGTTCAACCTTTTCAGCTTGTAATTCTTCAAATTCAGCCTTAGCTGTCTCAGCCTGAATGATTGCATCTTCCAGACTCTGTTCAGTCATCTCCTTCTCTTTCTCCAGTCGCTCTAATTTGTCCTGAAGCATGTCTGCCTTCCTTTGGGCATCTTGGAGCAGTTCACCCATTTGATGCTTTTTTCTTTCATCGGATTCGATTTTAACCCGGAGCTTCTCAATGCCAACTCTCATCTGGATCACCTCCTCCTGGGTGGAATTCAGCCTAGATGCTATTTTTCCCTTTTCTAAAAGGGAGGATTCCAGCAAACGTGACAATCTTGAATTTTCCATCTCTAGCATTTGGATTTTGGTCATAGTTGCCTCAGAGCTCTGAGACACATCACACTGTTGTTCTTTAAAATGATCCAACTCCTTCAGCAAGTTGTCCTTCTCCCCACTGAGCAATGATTTTGCTTGCTCCAAGTCTTCAAGCTGTGCTAACAGCTGCTTCTTCTCTTCTTGCAAATGACCAAGGTTATTGCTAGCCACCTCACTTTCTTTTTTCTGGCGTCTTATGTCAGCCTCAATTATCTTATTCAGTTCTCTTGCTTCAGTGTTCTCTTTTTCCAGCCATTCAACCCTTTCCTTCAAATTCAGCAAAGACTGAGCAGCTTTCTCTTTCTCTTCTGTGCAGGAAAGCAGCTCTTGTTTCAGCTGTAGTCCTTCAGTTGTCATTATATTGAGATTTTGTTCAAGGCTGACATTTATTTTCCTGCTTGCTTCAAGCTCTTGCTCCAATTTCTGCTTCCCTTTCAGCATTTCCTCTATATCAGTCTCCATTGACAAGATGTGATTTTCTAAGTTTGCTTTCTCAGATTGTACACGTTTCAGATCACTCTCAAGCTGAAGGACTTGCTCATCCCAGTCAGCATTTGCCACCTCTGTTGTTCCTAGTATCTCGATAATATCTGATGACTGACATTTTGATGTCTGAAGTTGCAGCTTTAAAGTATCCACTTCCTCTTCCAGTTTTTTTATTTGATCATCAGCTTTTTGTTTTTCCACTATGGTGCACTTTAATTTATCAACAGAATCTGATTTTTCTTCTTCCAGTTGATGCAATGTCATCTCCATTTGAGTGCAGAGCTCTTTCCTTGAGTTACTCTCAGCAGCAAACAACTCTAAATGTGAATGTAAGGCTTGGATTTCTTCCCGCAATTTTTGGATAGTTCCTTCATTTTCACCCTCAAGTTGTCGTCCGTGATCGTCCTTTTGAGAGATATTGACTATCTGGTTTTCATGATTTGGTGCCATTTCATCTATGGAGCTGTCTTGCAAACTGGAGATACCTAAATATGCATGTTCTTTCAAATTCTCTGTCTCTGGTTTCTGTTTTTTATGAGGAGTTGCTTTCTTTGATGAATGGGACTGCAGCTGCAAAGTAAAATGTAAAGACATCATTGAAAATACAGTAAAAAAACATTTTAGCATTAAATTATCTACATTCTAAAAGATATTCACATGTACAGACAATTTTACTGTTTTTCAGAGGTAGGGACCATGTCCCTGGTGTGGCTTACCTGCAAAATAGATTCTTCATTATCATCACATAGCAAGGAACGAGAACTAAGGTCCAGACCCTGCATCTGTAACCTCGCAGTCTCCAATTCTGCTGATAACACTGCTGCATGTTGCCTCTCAGCAGCCAGTTTAGCCTCCATCTCCAAGCTCAGGTCAACAAGTTTCTGTTTCCAGCTCTGTACCTCATGGAAATGTTGTTTTTGGAGCTGTTCCAGATCTTTCCTTTCAGACCCTGGCAGCTCCATAATCTCATTTTTGAAAACCTGTTGCTTAGCCTCCATCGGACCATCAAGACCTCTCCTGACTTTCTCAGAGGTGGGAGATGACAGTTCCAATTCTTCTGACTGCGCAGCTTGATTCTCTGGAGAAAGCACATGTTGACTGGAGGGATGCAAATGAATTTTCTCCTGTTGCAGATGCAACACCGGTCCATCAAAGGAACACACAATACCATCAATATTATCAGTTGCATTCTGCAAACCAGATCCCCCAACACTGGATGAAGAAACTGAGCCTAATAAAGTACCTTCACAAGGATGACATGGTTCTGTGCTGGAGTCCTCAATGATAGCGCTACTGTGCAGAACATCAAACTCCTTGTGATCATCAAGCGCACTCATGCCATCATATTCTTCTTCATTTGATAAACTGATGTTTACAAATGAACTAGCACTTTGACTGGCATCCACTTCACATTCAGTTTTATGGCCTCTTTCTGATTTAAGCTGTTCAATAAGAGACTGCTGTCCTGATACCTGGGAGAGCAAGCTGCTATACTGTTCTTTCATTACAGCATATTCACTTTGTAAGACAACAAACCTTTGATGCAATTCCATTTGCTCTTCTTCAATCTCTTTGTTTTTCAAGTTTGTCTTATTGTGTTCTGCCATTTTCGCAATGGGGGACTTGAGACACTGATACTCATCTTTCTGGATCTGCAGTAGTTCCTTAAGGCCATCATTCTCCTGTTTTAATCTATCATTTTGCTCTTCAATATCACGCAACTGGTGTTGCAAGTTCTCAACCTTAGTCCTTAGCTTCGAGTTTATTTCTGACAGTTCATTGTAGATTTTTTCCAAGTTAGAATATCTGAGATTCTCCTCCTCTATGGCAACCTGGAATTTTGATTTAGCTGCCAGAAGAGACTCAATTTCAATATTAAGTGCAGAGAGGTTTTGTTCATTCTTGCAGACATACTCTAAATGTGATTTTATTTTTGAGATTTCGTTGTTTTTTAATGTTAGCTCTTCTCTGAGACAAGACAGTTCATTTTCTGTGGTGGACCTTTGCGATTCGCTTTCTTCAAGTTTTGTTTCTAATGAGCTTATAGTACCTTGATGCTCTTCCATTTTTGAGTCAAAGGAATTCATGTAAATCTCATTGTCCTCAAGATCCATCTGAAGCATTTCCAGCTGGACCTTTATCTTATTCATTGTAAGATCTTTTTCTTTTAGTGCTTGAGTTAATCTTACCTGCTCCAATTCAGCATCACAGACACTCTTTCTGAGCATTTGGATTAAATCTTCCTTTTGATCCATGCTATTTTCTGTAGTTGTTAAAGCAGCTCTCAAAGATTCAATTTCACTCAGATTGGACACTTCTTTTTCCATCCAACAATCCCTTTCTTGAATAATTATTTTGTAGGAATCATTCAATTTGACCAGTTTATCATTAGCAGCAGTAATGTCTCTTCTTAACTGTAACATTTCAGACTGACTGTTTTCCAGTGTTGTGTTCATCTCTGAAATTTGACTGCTTTTGTCTTGTAACTCAACCTTAACTGCAACCAACTCCTCCATCAAATTCTTCTGCTTCTCCTCATGATCTTTAATTTCTTGAGAATGCCTTTCTGACTCCTCTCTTTGCTTTGCAGCAAATACATTCATTTTCTGTTCATGCAAAGATTTTTGATCTGATTGATCTTTGAGGCTACTCTCCAGCTTTGAATTCAGCTCTACGGCAGAAGCATACTTGACTTGAAGATCCTCCACCAAACATGTTAGCTCAACACAATGCTGGCTTGAAGCTTCAAACTCTTTCTCAGCCATCAGTGTCAAATCCTCTGTAGCGGCTTTTTCCCTTAACAAGCAAGCTTTTTCTTCACATAAAACACGATTGGCCTCCTGTAGGGACTGATTCTTTGACAACAATTCTTCAGTGCTCTTCTCAAGCTGTTTTACTTTCACTTCTAAATGTACATTTTCTTTTTCCAAATTGGAAGCCTTAGTTTCAATTTCCTTTACTTGTTTTTTGAGATCCGATGTATTTCCACTAAGCGTCTGTAGCTCATTTACTTTTAGGTTAAGAGCTTCTGTAGCTTTTTGAAGAGCACACTTACTCTCTTCTTCTGCGGCAGATACACTATTTAACTGCTCTTGTAGAGAATTCACAGTCTTTGCCTGCTCAGAGAGGATGCTCATTTCATGAAGGACTTTTTCTTCATTTTTCTCTGCTTTGGAAATTTTTTCCTGGAGATCATCATTTGCATTAGAGAGCACGTCATATTTGGTCTGCAGCTCTACAGTAAGATGTTTTTGGCACTTCAAAGCTAAGTCAAGTGAAGCAATACGATCATTTAACAAGGGTAATTCCTGCTGGCTTTTCTCAAAATTCAACTTTGCCTGTTCAGCCTCTTCAGTTTTCTCAGAAAGATTAGTTTCATATTCTTTCATCAAACTGGACTTCTCCTCAGTAAATCTGACCAGCTGTTGCTCCTGGTAAGCCGAAGCCTGAGCTACACTCTCCCGGAGATGCATTATTTCATTCTGCTTTAGCTCTATCGTAGAATCCTTTGATTTAGCTAGGTCACAAGCATTCTCATACTGCGTTAACAGTTCAGTGTGAGAAAGTTGCATGTTCTCCAACTTGCTTGTCTTCTGCTGCAATCTAGCCTCTAATTCTGTCAGCTTGCACTGCAGAAGAGTGATTTGCACTGCTGTATTCTCCAAATCCTTACTATGTTTCTGATCTGCCTCCTTAAATTGTATTTGAAGCTCATTATGAACTTGTTCTTTTTCCTCCAGCTCCACACATTTATTCAGCAAGTCACCCTTCAGAGAATCAATCTGGCACATTAGAATTTCTCTCTCATTTTCCACATTCTTCAGCTTCTCATTCAGGTCACTCTGAGTGTCATTAAGAGTGACTATATTTTTTTGCAATTCACCTATTCTATTCAGCATCATTTCTCGTTCAGTCTCAATGTTGTTAATAAGACCTTCTTTTTCATTTTTCCATTTAAGGATAAACTCTGCTTGTTTTTTCAATTCATCACACTCATTCTGTTTCAGTTTTAAATTTAAACTCAGTTCTTGATGTTCCTTCTCTAACACAGTGTTCTTGTTTGCCATCTGCACCATTTCAATCCTTTGTTTCTGAATTTCCTTTTCAGATTCGTCCTTTTTCATTTCCAGATCAGCCAATTTTTTTTTCATGCTTTCCAGATCTTGTGTAGAAGATTTGGTTTGGCTTTCCAGTTTCGTTTGAAGTCCTTTCAACTCCTCACTTTGAGCCTGAGTTTTAGCTGAAAAAGACAAAAAAGTTAATTTTGATTAGTCGGTCTTGCTTCATTGCAACTAGTGAATTCCTGAAAAACTTCACGTTAGCCAACATGTACTAAAATACACACATCAATGGGAAAAATAGGGTTAAACTTAAAATTAAAAAACTGGCTTGACAGTTTCACCAAAAAGAATGATTCGTTCAGGAATCTCACATCACCATTGTTCACTTGGATAGCTCTTTCTCTGACTGAAAATTGCGCAAATACAAATGTGATTCCACACTGTATGCGACTTACATTACGACTTAGTAATGTCAATCATGGTAGAACAGATCTGCAGTGTGAAATCACATGTTGTAATAGAAGTGACTGTATATATTTACCAGTGGAATCAGAGGTGTTAACGTTTAAACGGTGAGGCAATAGCCACATACAGACCAATAACAGAAGTTACTGGTCTCTAATAAAATAGTGGGAAAGGATTTTAGGTAATTTACAATCAAGCAATTTATTTATATTTCAGTGGGATACACCGACTGAACTAGGCTTGGGCAGCAATATGGCAAGATGATATATCTTGAGATTTTGCTGACGAAATTAGCCGAGTGCTTGAAATATATTGTTGGGACTCCCCGTCTGATTTCAGAATACCAAAATAGTGATGCTTTTCAAACTACCACATAGTGTGAGATAATGTCTCGACTGTATGAAATATTAGATACTGCACAAAACTAGGTTGAACCCTACCACAGGGTCTAATACTCTGTACTTAAAACTCCATTCTGTAATCCTTTATGGTATTTCAATGCCATGGTTACCTTTCAAATCCTCTGTCATATTGTTGCTCTGCTTCAGGTCTTGTCTCACTGTTTTCAGCTCTTCCTCAACTTCAGACAATCTCTTGATGTTTTGTTCCAGCTTAGAGTTGAGGTTGTTTTTCTCTTTCTGCATCTCCTACAAAAGACAAAACCACCATGCTCATTTAAAAGTCAGGGATGGTAAGGAAATAGGAGGGAGCAAAAACGTGGACTGCCTGTGAGTCCCCGAGGACCGGATTGGGAACCTGAATTAGACCATTGCGCACATACCTCAGATTTCTTCTTTAAGTCAACTTCGTTTGTTTGACTAGCCTGCAGAGCTTGTTCTGATCGACAAAGCTTAGCTTTAAGCTCTTCCAAATCTTTCTCCAAGTGATTCTTCTGTGCCATTACCTAGGTGGAAAAAGAGTACATCTCTAGGCTGTTAACAGTCACGATTCAAATATGACACCATTTGCATGATTGCATATGTCAGCAGCTGTACAAAACCTAGATCGGCACTTTTTCCCTCATAGCTGTCACTGTTACCTTGTCAATGTCAGATTGCAGCATAGTGTAATCCTTTTTGGCTTGCTGGAGCTCCTGGCTCATCTGTGTTTTTGTCTGATTTAACTGCTGCTCAAGTGCAAACTGGGAAGTCTGCTGGCGAGCATGTTCCTACATGAAAGAGAAAGGACTAATGAAGGCTTGATGCTTCGTATCAAATAAGCATTCATGGATCGCAAAAGCCCCAAAGAATAAACAATGTGTCTAACATTTGCATCTCAGTTGAAACTGCATGTCAAGAACACAACAACCAGCACTTTTGACAATCATGACAACGCGAAATACGAAACCTTTTGGTTCTCCTTCTCCTGGTCCTTCAGCTTCTGTTCCAGAGTGCGCCGTGAACTTTCCGCATTGTGCCTTTGGCAATTAATTTCCTCAGTCAACTGTTTCAGCTTTTGCTCAACTGAAATACACTGAATAAAAAAAAAGTGTAAAAAATACAATTTAATCATCATAAGCGTCACAATTTACATATCAGAAACAAGGCTGTGAATTTTCAGCACACTGGTGTGAACACAGTTACTTTTATCAAACTGTTCCTTTAATAACACCTAGGGGTGTAACGATATTACAAACCGAACCGAAATATCGCGATACACCAACCACGATACGTATCGCGAAACTCTCGTGGTGTACCGCGGTACTCTCACGCCCCCTGCTGCCCATTGTTGAGGTTGACGTCACTTGTCTCTAACTAATTTAACCAATTTAAACACATCTTTATTTTATCACATTTGATTAAATTGTATTAGTAATGATGAGCTTTTGTTCTAAATTTTGTTCTAAATATTATATTCTAAAGTTAGTATTAGAATTGTTTTTTCTGACTAGTCTATATTGGAGGTATTTATTTAATTTTTGTTGTTTACTCAGGTATCCTGATTGTACTAAAAATGTGATGGCAAAATTAATAAAGAAAAAGTTTAGTTGTTATTGTTATTAAGTGAATCTATTGTTCCTTAGCATTGCTGTTAAGATGACATCAACCCTAACCCCACAGCAAACAGAAACCGAACCGAACCGAGGCTCCAAAACCGCGAACCGAACCGAATCGTGCCTTTGGTGTATCGTTACACCCCAAATAACACCCTATACATGACAGGCAAAGCATTTGATACTTTATCAGGGTTCCTCCAATTCTGGCAGAATAAATTACCATGACTTTTCCAGTACCATAACATTTTTTTCCAAAACCCACAAGTTTGCTTTGATTTGATGATCATGCAGTTTCAGATAGCAATACTACAATTATCGGTACGATATATAATAGTCAATCTGGTTGCCAAATAAACACAGACGGTGGACAACTTTTGCCAATGCAAATAGCGTTCAATTATTAAGAAAATTAATCCCAATATTAAAATAATTACACGTATCTTACAATTGGTAGAGGCAAACTGAGTCAAAAACAGGAAACTGTGATCAATAAAATTCAAATACGTGCAAAAAAATAAATAAATAAAACAATAAAAACTGGAATAGAGACAAAAGCAGCGATCTCAAATATGCAAAATGTGCGTGGTAAAAGTGCCAGAAACAGATTTTTACCAAGGTAGTTAACTATTGACTTCCGCTCGTACATTTCCGTTAGCGCGTTGCGGAATGAAGTGGGAAACAAAAATGAGCAAGGCTAGTTTCGAAAACTTTTCCTCTCTATCCAAGAATTCCAAAACTTATCCAGGGCCTGGAAAAATTATTTCAAAATTCCAAAACTTTTCCAGGTTTTCCATGACCACGGGTACCCTGCTTTATGGAAAACTGTACTGAACTTCACTGCACAATAATTGCTTTTACTAAAGGTTTTACCAATAAACACTTAAGTGTTAAAACAAACATCCCATATAATATGATTTTATCAATGTAACTTCTTAAATAAATAACCATCACAACTCCTTATGGGCCAGCCTAGGGAATAAAAGACTGGGCTTACTAGGATCAAGTCTGGGAAATTCCACAGTAATAATGCAATAGTCATAAGTACACAGATTTTGTTTTGTCAAGCCATTTTCATTACCTTAGTCACAGCCTGGTCGTATTGCCCTGACACCTTGGTGAGTTCATCTCTGCACTTGGCCAGAACTTTATCTTTCTCGTTTAGGTCTTTCTTCATTTTATCAAGCTGACTCTGTATTTCCTGAAACTTGTTGATCTGGTTCTTCATCTCTTTGTTGTGAGACTGAAGACGAAGCTCAAGCTCAGATACTTTAGCTTTCAGATCTGAAAGAAAAATCACAACATCATATAAAATCCAGATAGATGTGAGATGATGCAAGTAATCACAAGAAAACTTGTTACGCAACATTAATTAATTTCGCTTTGGACAAAAGCACCAGCCAAACAAATATTTTTAAATGAATGATTGCTTAGTAGGTACCACAATGAAAATGGAACAGAACCTCTGGCTAAATGTCGCAGGGTTAAATCACAAAGGCCTAGAATGTGAACATAGTGCATGCATTAGTATATAGTAATGTCAAATAGAAAAAAATTGCTGTCCTCACCACTTCGGCTCTTAAATAAAAAATATGATGCACGAAAATGACAAAAATGTGAAGCAGTAACTATGACACTCATGCATGCAGTTTGCACAAGTGACATTTTTAACCAATACTGTAATTATCACTTTTTTTACAGTTGTTTTGTACAGTTGCCTCTAGAGAACAAACCTTGATTTGTTGCCCTCAGGAGTTCAATTGCTTCAGAGCTGCCCGATTCACTTTGAGTGACTGATATGCTTCGGGAATTCTGTTTCATGGGTGTTCCCTCTAGATCCCATGGGAAGCTGGGTGGAGCAGTCTTCCTCTTTAACGGTGTCTCGGTATAGCTCGAATGACAGCTTAATGTTTGTTCTTGTTGCCATGGAAAGATTGAGGATTGTGTCTGCTGTCTAGCTATGTCCTTGTGGCTTACAGATGACTGGTTCAGCAACTGTTATAGAACACAAACAATAGTACTTTTGTTTTTCTGGGAATTGTACAGAAAGATAGAACATTTCAGGTTCTATGGAGATGAGTCAGCTTACTTTGACTTGGAGAACTTTTAATTCTGCTTCCATTCTTTTTCTTTCTTCAACCTCCTTGTTGTATTTGTCTTGCAGCTCCTCAAATTTAATTTCTAGGGAAAAATATATATATATTTTGCAAAATACTGCATCAGAAATGTGTAACATACGAAAAATTAGGAGTATATGAAGATACTATACCAAAATGCCTATTGCTTGGTGTCACTGGGGTTGCAAACATTTTCTGTGGTGTGCTAGAAGGTTGCATCTCCATACTATGAGACGGTTGGGTTCTATCCAATGAATGCCTTTGGAAAGAAATATGACAAGATGTACACAAATAATACAAAGCACTTGATATAACTCTGATATAACGAAACTCCCAACAAAGTTGGTCTATTTTGTATGTCTGGCAGGACAAATTCCAGGGTTTGACCCTAAATCAATTCAAGTCTGTGAAGTCTGTCTATTTCTATAGCACGTGCGCGCACATACACACATCGGGTAAACATATCTTTATAGGGACCGCTCATTCATTTCTATGGGAAAAATGCTAACGCTAACTATGATAACCTCAACCCCTAACCATAACCATAAGTAACCAAGCAAAATAGAAGAATTATTAGTTAGTTATTAGATTTTTATCAAATTGAGTTTTCCCTTGTGGGGGCCAGAAAACTGGTCCCCATAAGGGGAAAAAAAACAGGTGTTCATCACATTGTGTCCCCATAAGGTAAGGTATACCCGCTCGCACGCACGCACGCACGCACGCGACCTCAAAAGATGTCCCCAAAAGTACATGAACACACATGAAACATAATACATTAAAAGGTAATACAAGAAAAACTTTCAAATCACAGAAGAACACAAAAACAAACGACTATAAAAATCTCTAAAAGCCTCAGGAAATAGGTGAGTTTTAAATCTAGATGTAAAACATTCAATGGAGGGTGCTGCTCCAACATGTAGCAGCAGGTTTTTTTGTCCCTACCACAGAGAAAGTGCATTCCCCATTTCATCGCAAGCGACATTTTTGGCCAAAAAGCAGAAGCTTGTCAGAGACCTTAATGCTCGACTTGTACAGTATGGAGGGACAAGCTCAGTCAAATAATCTGGTGCTAGCCCATTCAGCATTAAAGGGGATCGGCAAATGAAAGCGCAGCTGTGATCCGTAGTTCTGCCCACCGCCCCGCTCCGATTAACATATATTTGCATGTAGTGAACTTGAAAATGAAAAGGCAAATTGGAAAATGAAAAGACAAAAAGGGTTTTTAATTATATTTTTTAATTTTTCACATCTGACTCATACATGAGTGGAAAATTTAAATGCAAATGGTGCTTTTTAATTTTTGCAGGATTTTTGCACAGACTTTGGAAACTAAATGGCAAAGTGGAGATTGTATTTTCTTTTTATCATTTTCATTTTATTTTTTGCAGAAAATACCTCCCATATTTACTATACTGCACTTTCTAATCTTTATTTAGGATATACCATGTAGAGCATAGGTGTACAGTACATTGCAACATCTAGGTTTTTATAAATACACATGATGTTTGACAACACCAAAACCGATTAACGACTCATTTCTCAGAATGCATCCCTGTCGTTAAATGGCAAGACTAATTATGTGCAATTTATAAATCAGAGTAATTAAAATTTTATTCATAACTTAACCAGGTTAATGCAAATAAGTATATTCGGCCTGACTGTTAGGAGTAACTCACCTCTTTATTTCCTGCTCTAGTTTCTCAATCTGTTTTCTGCTGGAATTCATCTGGCCCTCCAAGTAATTCACCTGCTGATCTTTGACCTGCATCTCATGGGTAATCCTCTGCCGTGTCTTTTCTAGACTTTCACAGGACTCCACAAGAGACTGGTTCTCCCTTTTTAGGACAGATACTTCATTCTTTTCCACATCAATCTAGTGAGAATCAACATAAACACAATAATTAATGACACTGACAGTTTAACGCACATGATGGCATATGTTCAAGAGTTCGGAGTTTTTACTGAGGGATGCATAAACCTGAAATACCTTCTGCTTTTGTTTCAGAAGTGTGGCTTCAAGAGAATCCATCTGGAATTGCTTCTGTTGCCTCTCTTTCTTAAGCTTATCCAGCTGTCCTTCAATCTCCTGAATCTTCTGGAGGGCTTTTCCAGGAAGCCCATCTTTCCACTCATCTCCTGCCCAACTCATATTTTCTTCTTTTTCTGGTCTCACTCAGAAATTGGCATTCCCTAAAGATCAGATACACTTTGATTTCTATAATCGTAATCAATTACATCTGTATATTCAATGCTCATGACCTTTAATTACGTCAGACACCCCACCTCTCCTCCAAGTTCTGGGAGTCTACCACAAATTGACAGCAGCTCTCTGACACCCGCAAATGATGTCCCGGAAATCTGTCATTCTGCTATTCAGTGGTGGTAAAATGAGTTGGCAAGAAGTTTTACTGCTGCAACCTTGCCCCAAATTTTACTTCCACTGGTCAACAATTTCTGACCCCCCACCTGTCCCCACGCTAGTCGGGAACATACACAACCAGTCAAAATTTTTTGCACACACAGAAATTTTCTACATTTGCATCTAACTCAAGTAACATTTACTAAAAATACTCAATACTCTTTGCTGACAAATAATTGTACGGTATGTTCACTATTTGAATACCTTTGTTAGCAAGAAAATGTCAAATGTTTGATTCATCAAAGTAACCTCCTCTAGCAATTATAAAATTTGAGGCATTCTTCCTACAAAAGGACATTAAATACTACTGTTTCATTGAATGAAACAGCTAACTAGTGCATTTAAAGTTAAAGGACAGCCTAGAATTTGCCATCACCACACAACCAGTTAATGGGATGTCAGACGTGCACTGTTACATATTCTTCCCATGTAATAAAGGAAACTTGTTTTATTTGACTTGTACTTTCATTTAAAGTTGTTCACTCTACTTTCCAATGCTTTTCTTTTAATTTGCAGTTTATGAAATATATGGAAAAGAGGTAAAATCCTGTGGTGTGCAAAAAACTTCTGACTGGTAGTGTATATACGGTGCTACTATAATACCAGCCAGGCATTGGCCAGCACCCCGCCCTCCCGGATGTCCCTCATCTGCCTCCCTGAAATCAATATCCATAAAGTGGGATGTCTGTTACATAACACATTTTGACAGTGGAAAAAGTAAATAATTAAGTTATACGCTAAATAAGGCTCTAGAACACGCATACATGCAATGCGATTCTTTGAAAAGTACAAATCACGTGCCCAGCAGTATTCAATACAGAAAAATTACAGATCTTTCGTGATTAAAATTAACTAGTTACTACTGTTATATAAATAAGCCATTTTACGACTTGTATTATCTGGCTCCAAGTTACATTTTCAATTGTGATCTAAATACTTGACATCGAAACTTTATAGTAGCGTACATTTTCTTTAACTAGCCAACTACGACTACAGAACTTAACTAAGTGCCACATCGACTGCGTACAGTTGAGTATAATACATAGTATAAATACCGTGATTCGGACAACATGTTTAAACAATTTAATTATAGCTATTATAATTACCTTGTCTGCTTTCGGTTGGTTTTAGTAAGCCTTAAGAACACCAAATAACTTCCCAACGTGTTTCCTTCGCCAGTTGAAATACAAAACAAAAATTCAAATCCTGTTCGCTTTTGCAGAATCCCCCAGTACAATGTTCTCATTGGTCACAGCACCGAACTGCGTCTCCAATTGGATAGTGTCACATGACGTTTAACTTAAGCTATCCATGATTGGACAATATGCCAGGCTGTATTTAAAAATGATACCCGCTCCCAGGTTTCAAGTTTTTTTGTGTTAAACTGGCAGAATAACAATCACACTTAAAGAATATTTAATTTATTGTTGGTTAATATTGAAGATCATATCACAGTCGAATAGTTCTCAATATGCCCTCATAACTGTCGTTCATTACTTATCTGGTATGTCATTTTTGAAAGATATATTTAAGGTATATTTCCGCAAGCTATCAGCCTCAACATTCAGCTGCAGCCGTACTCATTGCATATGGTTTACAATTAAAAGTTGCGAATGGGATGTCCTGCACAGGACGCGTACGTGCGTATTGGCCATGCCTCGAAAAAGACGGGAATGCGTGTAGAATATCAAAATACAGATAATATATGCTTTTAATAATCGGAAGGCCGATCAGCTTTTCTGAAGAAGTTTTCATATTTTTAGGAAGAATACTAAATTGCATTTAACTTAAGGCTGTGGACTATTACTTTTTTCATATATAGCATTTATCAAATCATGCACACCAGCATAGCTGGACTAAGTGGACTTTTTGACATAAAATCGACACAAGTCCAGAGTTTGAATATTATAACATTACAATGTGTTTTCAATGGATCGTTAGACGCTTTGCCGTGTCACAGTTAATTCAGCTGCAGGTCGATGGTTCTAGTAGGCCTATAACACTTGAGGGCGTAGTTTGCCCATTAATTACGGTGCTTTATCATTGACACTATTATTTGCAGCATTTTACGTAGGAGACTGATTTTTAAAGTACAAAAAAATCAGGAGAATTTGTTGACCCTCCGAAAAGAGACCATTAAGCAGTTTTCTACGCAATTAACATACCTGGGTGGCCACCTTTCAATTTTACGTGTGGTATATTAGAATACAATGAAAAATCAGGTAAACGGAATAAGACGTTTTAGAAAGAATCACTCATTTCTATACAAAATCAATAGAGGAGTTTATTTAAATTGAAAAACTGTTAATTAGCTCTCATCCTGTGTTTTTTTACATCCCCGCCTCTAATAATTTAAATTTATTAACTGATAGTATGTCGTCACGTTTGCATTCCTTAAAATTGAATAATTAATATATGACTATATATATAGGCTGGTTTTAAACAATCCCACCTACACATTCAGTGCTCTCATATCTACATATTACATGCATAGATCTATTCAAATACTGTTGTTCGGCGAAGTGTCGATCCCGATTGGACGCGCGGGCAACATGTTACATGAGCACTTAAAGGACCCACAAAACTTTGAGCTATTCAGAAGTTTTGTTCTGTTACTTTGTTTTTGTAAAATGTCCTAGTTTGGAGTCAGTCTTAAGCTGATACTCTTTGTGGTGTCTTTTGCTTTGTATAGTGATTAGTAAAATAAACTGTGATCGGAGTCGTTTCGGAACGCTATTGATGTGGGATACCGGACGGCGCTGGAATTTATTTAAAGGTGTTTAATACAGCGTGTGCATTTGGTATGTATCAGGGCTTTACACCGTTATCATTTAAATCACATTTTACTGTTATCTGATGTTGTGCTATCTACTATTGTGGCGCAGTGATGTTTAATATTATATTGCTTTATTAATTTTAGCTTATATGGCTATTTGCTCCACTGAAATTTGGTAGAATATGTACTATAGGTCTGTGTGGCTTGTACTGTATAATGCGTGTAAAGGTGTACCATATGTTTACATAATTGTTCTTCTTCAACCATGCATTAATACTTCGGTGAAGCCAAGACAAGATGCGACCTGTACGGATATCAATAGTCTGTAACCCATCCCTTATTACTTTATAAATATTACATGTAAGGTTTTCAGTCAAACAAAATTGCGTAGTAAGTGTATTGTATAGGCCTGCGCAGATTTGAAAAATGTCGAAAAGAGACTAATTAGACTTCAGTATTATGACTAAATATTCATGCTAGTTTGATTAAGTATATAAATTACCTAAATGAGGTTTGGTAATTTACCAAGGTGTATTGTTATAGTTATTTGATCGCACGACAACTCTTTCCCATTTTAGATGTGTTTTTCGCGGTATTCAAGTTGAACGAAAAACACTTCCAGTAGTTCCACTCAGTGGGTGTAAGCGCAGTGACTTCCGCCTGCTGTGACATCATGCGCATACTTTGCAGCACGAGGACCGCAAGAACATCAGATAAGAGAATGACAATCTGGAAGTATTTCTTGCTTTTAACAACGACTAGTTACACAGCGATTTGCAATCTTTGTAAAAACATAGTTTTGAGAGGCGGGAATACCGTTTTATGGAAAATCCCACTAAACAAAGCGCACGCAATTGTGCGAGACAATACGAGTAATACGGAAAAAACAATGGATATTTGGCAGTCGTTAGCTTGGGCTGTGATACAGGGGTGACTGCTATTGCAATGCAGTGTCGCTGTTACCAGTGCGAGAATCATTGTGGGGCATTTTCAGCATTCGCTACTTGCATATCGATCGATCCTCGCTTGGAAGATGTTGAAATTGAACTGTAAAATGTCCAAAAAACGCTTAAAACAAGATGTACAAACACGGTGGAACAGTACTAAGCATTAAGTTTTATTTAATTGACTGCCATTTCAGTCTGCAGCCTACCAAACAGCCTTCATCAAGGTGTGAAGGACAAAAATGAGATGCTGATCAAGGAAATTCTGCAGAAAATGGTAAAACACAAGTATTCTTGGTCTGATTCTCAGGAAAGGAGGTTTCCAGGTTAACACTGTAATTGCAGATTGAGGATTGCCTCCAAGTTTACATTATTGTACAGTGGCACCGGAAACCAGGTTTGAAGAGATTCTTTGCGTTTAATTTGAGAAAAACCCGCACACGCTTTGTCAAAGCATATTCCAAAACGGCTAATTCCAGTATAAAGATTGACACTATGGTTTATTGAAGGGAAAACGAGAGGTAAGGTGATCGTCTTTCAAAGTGATGTGAACATGGGAAGCTGAGATGTATCGGTGCAGTCTTGCTATTTGCTGAGTGCCATTAAACTGCAAGAAAAAACGAAACAGAAGAAATACCGAAAAACTGGACAAGAAGCGACTTGTGAAGAAACAAAATGAATGTTACAAATATTCTAGCTGTTGAATATACTGATATCTTCAGTTGAATATAACTTTACTAAGAGTAGTGATAATAGATATAAGATGTCATTATAAGATACTGATGAATTTATTTGTATATGATACATGTATGTATATCCAGTCATGTGATTTTTTTTTATAGATTGACTGAAAGCTGTTTATTCTACAGCTTCCTTTATTTTGCATGCAATTGTAACTGGAAGTCATATTGGTTTGCTTGTTTTAATGCTACTTACAGTGGGTTCATAACAGTTCTGGATATGACTGGGCAGGTTTGCATCTTCTTTGGAGTCCAAATTACCTGCTTATTACTGAGCAAGAACTTGTTCATCTCCCGAGGAAATCAGTGCTGTAATAGCAATCTAATTCTTGCCAGCACTTCACAGAGGAAAAAAAACTGTAAAAACAAAGAACTTCACAAGATTATCACAAAAAAAACAGAAAGTACTTAAACAATATTCTGGTAGTTAAAATTACCTCGTATGCATTTGGTGTTTGTCCTTGAGACACTGCCTCAAAGCTTATTTTCAGTTTTTTTTTTAATCACTATTCCTGGGAATTTGCAAGGACTTGCCCCAGAAGAACAAGGCGCCAGAGACTATGGATACGAATATCCCTGCAGCCCTGTGAATGGGGAGGAACAGTCCTTTTAAGGGTGTCGGGTGGGAAGATATCGAGGTCTTGGCTGGTTCAAATTGCAGTTGACAAGCTACTCTTATAGCCTTCAGAAAGGTACTTAACCAAAAAACATCCAATAAATATCTTATGCTAACATAAGGGCTGCAAAACAGTATGGCTGATAATCTTTTTTAACACTTGAAATTGAATGTAGTTGCAGGACGGGTGAAAAACTGTGAGAAGCTTCTTTTCTTTTTGAAACAGGTATTAAGTGCTCCAAGATTAAATCCACCACTAATCAGAACTCGTTCTAAAATGTAAAATTATAGGTCTGTTATGTCAATGGAATTATGGGTACTTTTTGTAGCATTTTTTTGTTCACATCTGCTTTTCTATAACCTATCAGAATTATCTGTAGATACTAGGATCATAATTTCTAAGAATGGCGTACATGACATTCCTCTTGGATTTACTCATTTTTGTATAAAGCCTTGGCCTAGCAAAACCATTGATGTGAAGGTCTGGTTTTGGGATTGTCTCACATATCTTTGTGTTTCTCTGTGACTGTCGTTAGAGGCTAATGGAGCATGCATATGTACTTCTTTAAGACCATGGTTCTAGCTGTTACAGAAGACTTAAGATCTGCATCAACTGGGTGATGCATATAGAACCGTAGAAAGCCTTTTGTACCATATGCGTGCTGCATCTTTAATTAAATATTAAAAGATTTTTTTAACTTAAGTATTAGCATTAGCCTGCATGGGTTGGTGTCCCGTCGTGGGTTAGTACCTGCCTTGTGGGCTTTTTTTTTGGGATAGGTTCCAGACTCCTGCGACCAGGGGCGGATTAAGGTGCACAGAGGCCCCTAGGCTACAGTAGTCTGTGGGCCCCCCAACCCCGCCCCCCTCCGCGCCAATGAGGGCCCCCTTGCAGGCAGGCACACGTGGGGCCCCTAGGCTTAAGCCATATCTAGCCTGTGCGTTAATCCGCCCCTGCCTGCGACCCTGCATAGGATAAGTGGGTATGGTGAATGAATGCATGCATGAATGGATGAATTATCATTAGCATTTAATCATTGCTATGGAAAATGCTTCAAATCTTCTATAGACTTCATAGGATATACAGAAGTTATATACAGTATATAAATCTTTTAGTTTCTCTTGTTTTGGCATTGTGAAATCCATGCCTGAAGTGCTACTCTTTTTAAAATGTGTTAGAGGTGTGGTCAACTGAATTTCACTATAAGCTAGGGCAAATGCACTCGCCTGTTCCCTGCCCCCACAAGCATACCTGAGTCAGGTGTGCCTTTCTTCTCCTTCAGTCTCAGAAACGCCGAGGCAGGGATCCAATGCAGACCCGTAACACACTGTAACGACACTCTCCATCTCTCAAGTTTGTCCTCCTTAAATGCCACTGCCTTGTTTCTATGGACTCCCTCCCGCACCTTTGAAATACCATCAATCAGGTAACATTGTTATAATCTTATTTGCTGTTTGATGATTGCATTGTTTGACACCCCCCAGGTTATTATTAGGAAAAGTGAATCATTTTGAATTCACTTTTCAGGTATTAAGAAATACCTGGATGACTGTTTCATCAGGATTTTTGTGATGCTTGTAAATTCTGAAGATATGACCTGAGGAGGCTGGTATGTGGTTTGCATTCAGAGTTTGTTACGCTGTTCTCTGTTGGTTGACGAAGGGACTTACTGCAAGGTTTTCAGCATTTTACCTTCTGCTGTGTACAATTGGAATTACAGAGGTGTCAAGGAACAGTCATGTTTCTGTATTATCAAAAGAATATATTTGTATGCAGTTCAGTATTTAATACCACTGACTTCTATCTCGTTGCATGTGACCTGTATATATTTCTAGACATTTTTGATTATTTCAGGCTACAAAAAAAGGAGAACTGTAGAGGCTTTTAGTGTTTTTGGTTTATCAATTTTGATGGCGATTCTTTTTAAATATTCAAATCAGTGCTGCTTATGATTCATTTTCATCACAAAATCCGCTTTTCTTTTCTGCAGGTCAGTGACCTCCCACTAGGAATGGGATGCTATTTGTCTTCTACTCGGATGTACATGTGGGGTCCCAGCAATATTGGGGTGGAGAGAATGTTCTAGAATAACGAAGAACAGAAGAACAGGGGCAGGCTGGTGCATTTATTTATTTTTCTCAAAGACATGCCTTTCCCGTTCAAGATCCGAGGGAGGACCAAGCGTTACTGTGTCCTCAGTAAGAACTGCTTCTTGACCCGTATTCAGCTGCTGGACAGTGGCATCATGGAGTACACGCGGCCCGTGGACAGCACAGGGCAGGACTGCCTGGATCAGGTGGCACAGAAGCTTCAGCTCAGAGAGGTAAGACTCTTTGGACTTAGTAACCTTATGAAAATTATTCTCAACTATGTATTGTAAAAGCAGGAAATACCCATTTGCTTCATATAGCTACCAGTCCAAAAATGTGTTGTGCTTATAATATACAATGACAATAAAGGCATTCTGTTCTATTCCATTCTGTTCCATTCTATTCTATTGTGTTTTACTTAGCCAATAGCGAATTTTTACTGCGAAAATAGTCCAAAATTAAACAATATTAATTGGGTGGGGGACCCTGAAATTGTAAGGGTGTCTCAGAACATTTTTAAAGCTAATTGTTCAACACAGTTATAAGTGCTTTGCCAGGAGGACAGGTTTGTTTGCATGAACCACAAATGATTAACACTAGCTAATAAATATAATGATTTGTATTCAGGACCTATCTGGATGATCTCACTCCCCTGTTTTTCATGAAATGATTTAGCTGTAAAGGGGCAGTTGGCCTCCATACCTACCGTTACCGAATGAGATCTGTTTGCTCACACCGTGTTGTGAAATTTGTCACCCATCATCATTATTAAATAAACATGAGTGTCATCACTGGTCATGCTGTGAGAATTTAACAGATTTGAATTGTTTGCTGTAAAAAAACGGACAGAAGCCAATTTCTTGAAACGGCAAACCTGGCAGGAGGGTTCATAAGGTGAGACGAAGGTGCAGTTTACATTGGATATTTGGGTTTGGCTGCTGGTGGCATAATTAGCTGCCTGGAGTGCTCATTGGCTAATTTTGTCACATGGGAGGTGTGACCCAAAAGGTACACTGGAAATCTCATATCGATTCATTCCAAGCATGTTCCAACTCTCCATGCAGTCTGTAGCCCTGTGTGGTGGAGAGAAAGAGCTGACTGATGTTAGCACTTTGGAGTGTGTCTACTCCAGTCAGAGAATTTATAACCTGCTTCTTTTATAGTAACTATCCAGATATGGGGCATTTAATGGAATACATACTATATTTGAAATTACTAAACTTATTTACAAAAATTCTATTTGTATCTTTCATTTTTCACTGTCATTTTTTATTCTGTACTGTATCTATCTACAGCAACCAAAAATGTGGTGGTGCAGTCACCTAATGGCCACTTGTGTCCAGCGTTCCCGGTTCGATTCTCATCCACAGTTCTATATGTGGATGTGGCTCAGTGCTCAGATGGCTAAATATGGAGTGACACAATAACTGTACTGACACATTAGATATTTGAATTACAGGTCCAAGCAGCAGTGATGCTGGATCCCTGTTGTTTTTTGATTGTTTTTTTGTGCTGTGTCTGATATATTAAAATGAATACAATCCTTCAGAGCTCTATTCTGCCTGCGTTCAGACAGTACAGCATCTCAATGAGAATAGATAATGTCTCTATATGATATGAGCTCTGCTGCTTACTGTTAACCCGAGCAAAGTGACCTGAAAGTCCTGTGTAGACAAGCACTGTCCCTCCCATTGCCTGCCTTGGAGATGAGAAAAGCGTCTGTGTAACACCTAAAACTGCACCAGCTTGCCTGGGGTGCACGGGTTTGGGTTCACGCTTTGGTTCTCACAGCGCGTTACAGGTGTTCCACCAATACATCCAGGCACTGCTGTGATTACTTTCATTGTTGTGTAGGTTTACACTTGTAGTATTTTATGTCGGAGTGACTTTATATGCTCCCTTTCATAATTGGTGCTTTATAAAACCATATTTCTTAACCGTACCAATTATTTAACGGGTTTCGGTTAGTGCTTATACACTCTAAAAATAAAATAATTTTAATCAAAAACTCTTAAAGCATGTTAAGCCTGAACAGATAATGCATAGCCATTTACTCGTTTGTACGATGTTGTACCTTGGAATTTAAAAGCTAATCACATGTATATATTTTGATTTCAGAATCAATACTGGTCTTGTTTTGCAATAACCTGCAAATTTGATGCAGCATTGTACCATGTTAGCGTAACAGCACAATAACAAATCAAACGTGTTACAGCATGATCTGAAGAGTGCAGCCAAGTTACTGGAAATGGAAGTGATTTCCTCAAAGTAAAACAGCATGAAAACATGTAGCTCGAAGTACCAAACAAAATATGAATTATGATTTTGGTTTCTTAAGGCATTAGTAGAACATATAAATATGTGGAACACACGTTTCGATACTTGTTCTTTGTGAGTATACTTTGCTAACTAATGATTAAGAAGGTATAGCCATCAGCCTGCAGTAGAACTTAAAACAGGACCTTTGATCTCTAGGTTTGGAAAGAAGTTACTGAGTAATCCCTTCTGTAGATTGTTCCCAGGTGTAGACATGTGCCAAACCGGTCTTCAGATTTTTCAGTGGAATACTGCGTTCAGAACGCCTTGGAGCCTTAACTGGCTATTTGCAGAGTGATTATTATACCAGTGCCATACATCAGCTCTGTTCCAAACCTTACAATTTTAATAATTTTAATTAAATGAAGGGCTTTGTGTAGGTTGCATGGCTGGAGGCTATGTCTCTGGGTGAAAAAATGTAGAGTAAACCTCTAGAAAACAACTGAAATTGGTTCTCTATGTAATACAACATACCAGAATGGATTTTCTATATGGATTTCTATGTAAACTGTATTTATGTAGAAAAATTTATGAAATTACATCCCCTATCCATTTTCCAATTGCGCATCCGATATAGGGTTATTGGGTACTGTGATATATATCAGATCAGATTTGATTAAAATGTTTGCCTTGGCTTAAAAAAAGAAAGCCTTCGAACAAACTTTGAGTCTCAAGCAAGCATAGCACACGTTGCATGTCTGAATTGATGCCCCGTGACACTGCATGACCTGAGGGAAAGTGAGAGCTGTTTATCTTGCTGAGCCACACCTGAGGCTGCCATTTCTGCTATGTCCTTGGGCAAAGAAAGATATGTCTGTCTTTGGGTGACATAATGTTGAGATCAGACTGGATGTTCTTCTCGATAGTAGTTTGGGTGGAGGGAGTGCAAGATGGGAGGGTTAGGGTGGTGACAGATGTTGTAAAATCCTTTATTGTTTTGTCTGTGTATTCACAATAGTACCAGTGTAGTGTTTTTTATTTTTTATTTTTTTAAAAACAAAAAAAAAAACCCTGATGACTGTTATTACTTGGCTACGTTTATAATACCAGTATACTGTATAATGTGCAGTATATCCACCTTCTTTTTTCCTGCCAGACAAAAACAGCCCAAACAGTCCAAAAACAGCTTGGTCAAGTTTGCTACACACGAGAAAGTGAAAAATTCCACAAATATGTATATTTATTATAATTAGTATATGAGTCATAATAATTATTTCTCTATTTTTAAAAATGCCCAAAGGAGCATATAATGGAAGTTTCTAAAGCCTGTTTAGAGTGAATTGCTATTGATTTATTTTTTTTCTTATTGCACAATGTAGGCAATTTCATCCAGTTGCATTAAGCCAACTGAGTAAAGATGAGTTACTATTTTACTCCCGTTTTGTCCTCTAGACACAGTATTTTGGCCTGTGGTTCCTGAATAAATCTCACCTCCGGCGATGGGTGGAGCTGGACAAGGCCCTGAAGAAGCAGCTTGATAAATTTGCCAGCGAGCCGTTGCTTCACTTCGGTGTGATGTTCTACGTGCCGAACATCTCCCACTTTGAACACGAGGTCACCAGGTATGTCGGACCTTATCCACAGTCGAATATAACCCTTTTGGCTTCAGTTTAATATGTTCCGTATTAAATGGCCAAGCAGTAAACATACATGGCTGTGTAGCACATTCTAAGTTGCTGAAACCTTTTATGATTCCCTCTGTGTAATTACATAGCTCTGGCATGCAACGTCATAATTGAGGTATTAAAGTGGCTGAATAACAAGTTGGTACAGGCAGCATTTGTAACAATCCTCACCCAGGAGGAAATGCGAATTGAGACTGAATCAGCAAACAGGCGTAAACAGTAATTTGTGAAGTAGCAGAATATTGTGTCTTACACCTAGAAGTTTGGAGAATAAAATCGTGCCTTCTTCTGTGTGTGTCTGTAGTGTGCATGGTCTCTCCATGTGCAGTGCTCCTACGTGTATTCTGACATGCCCTTCGGTGAACTGGTAACCCTAAGTTGCACAGTGTGCATGTGCCCTGCAATAGACTGGCATCCCATCCAGTGAGTTTCCCTGCGTTGTGCTCTATGCACCCATGGAGCTGGGAGTTAAGGGCATTACTCAAGGGCCTATGGATATGCGACTGTTCTGCTGAACCTGGGATCGAGGCACAGAGGCTTAGCCCACTGAGCCACACTCTGCCCCTAGTTTTTGCTAGGGTTCTGTAATGAAAGGGCTGCTACAAATTGAATAGTCTTAAATAGCCTCCTGTGGTCCAGGTGATGAGACTGTAATTATGGTCCCTTAGAAGGAGCCAGTGTGTGGTTATATCCTCCGTCTGAGCTGTCAGAATACTGCAGGGGCACAAGGAGACGTCAGCAGGACAGAAAATTGGTCTGTTGCTCTGTCATGCTTTATTTGAAGAGCAGTTCGGTCCCTTGTCAGTTACCGAAAAATTATGGGCGATCATTGTCACTGGCTGCTACAGGAGATGTCGCCGGCCTGCCAAAACCTCTGTGACATTTACTTTCCAAGTGTTTTGAAAGTGTTTGTTTGTGGTGGAGTGCTACAGATATCACCTCACATCCATATCATGATCCATCGAGTTTTATATGCCACACATATACCATTCCATCCTGTTTACTTTTCTTACATGGATTTTACATGGATCATACAGCACTAATTGTGTAATACTGAAACTGCAAACCTGTGACCATTTATTTATAAATCCATAGCTGCTACTTCACAATGTCACTAAGCAGTTTTCAATAAGTGCTCCAAGTTACACATAACAGGTGTTTCTTCTGTGGAGATTAAGCCCATAACGCAACCAACAGGAAGTGACATAAGGTGTAAATAAGCACATGGACTAATTCTCTGAAGTTTACATCACCTATCTTAATGCATGGTCTACCGTTACGTTTGTCATAACAATGTTTTAAGAAAGAACAGAACCTCACACCATCTCGCAAACATAAAATCTCCACTCAAAAACCAGTTTTTGTGTCCATAAGAAAAAAGGATGAGTGTTATTACTGTAATTCAAACATGAGACACATCACGTCTCTACGGTACCATGTTCTAGTGAAATTATTAGTGTTTTCTTTAAAGGAGGAGGGCAGATAAAATCCTTAATTACAGCATTGGGTGTTTTTTACCCTTTTCTGACTGGGTTTTATTGTTGCAATAGTCATAAAATTAACTGGCAAAAAAATTATGTCTTTAAGGTTGTTAAAAAGTTGAAGGCATATTTGAAGTCATCATGCCGAATCCAGGTCACCCCCCACTTTGGTTTATTTCTGTTTTATTTTTTTGTTTCTGTTCAGATATCAGTACTACCTTCAAGTGAAGAGCGACGTCCTCGACGGGAGGCTGAGGTGCTGTTTCGAGCAAACTGTCAGGCTAGCAGGCCTAGTGCTGCAAGGTGGGCATGGAGACTAGGGGTGGGCGATATACCGGTAGACACAACTAACCGGTAGAACTTTGTCAACCGATCGAGATTTTGTCTTAATCACGATTGAGATCACGTGACGTTGCACGTTAGGTAACCACACAATACACATTCACTTCGACAATGGAAGAAGACGGTACAGCGGTGAGTTTGCTTACATGTGACGAAACCAACAACGAGGAGATTGTAAAGAAAAAAGGTGCATCGTCTGTGGTGTGGAATTGGTTTGGGTATAGGAAAAGAGTGAGACGAACGTGATTTGCAAGGTATGCAAGAGCACTGTTTTAGCAAGCGGTGGAAACACGTCAAACCTTTTCTATCATCTCAAATCCAAGCATCCAAACGAATATGTCCAAAGTCAAAAAATGCAGTACAATACATTGCAGTAAACGGTATGGTTGTTTTTTTACTTAAAGTAATGCTGCAATTCACAGTTTAAATAAAATTACATTATATAAAACAGTTTCTTTGTGTTTGAATTTTTATTTATGCATTTCCAGATACAAATTGCTATATTGTGATATATATCGTTATCGAGGTAGAAAATTGCTTCTACCGTGATAGAAGATTTTGGTTATATTGCCCACCCCTAATGGAGACCATCATTATTGAGGCTCTGCAGGCTCACAAAATCACTCAGTATCGCCACAAATATTGTTAAGGGGAAATGAGACACAGTTAGAGAATAATATGTAAAATGAAATGGTGAAAACGTTGGTTAAAACTGGCTGTATACTCTTGTAACTAACTAAATATTTGAATTACATTGGTAAGTATAATAAGAAGATCAGAATGCTCATTATCATTATACTGGAAAGAATTACACCGAGGTTCAGTCTCTGCATTTCCCATCAGGCTCTCTTCTGGCACACACACTTAAGTAGGTGAGAAGAAAGCTTGGGGTCAGAATGTAGGGTCAGTCATTTATTAGGTCCTCTGGGACACACGATGAAATGATTACTCTGTAGGATTTGGATCTGCGATCTTCTGATCACGGGTATGGAGTCCTGAGTCGCACACCACCAACACTTTGAATGCTCAGAATTGTAGGCTGTGTCTGTTTTGAATCAGACATGTCACAAGCCTGGGGCATTCGTGGCTGATGCCCGGAATTAGTTCAAATGAGCCCTGAATGATTTGTTTAGCTCAGACTTTTTCAACCACCAGACTGTCAGTTTGACAATTCCGTACATCACAACAGTCCTAGTCCAGGGCGGCCTTACCCAAAACCTTTATTATAACTTTATCCATCCATTTTCTGAAAACGCTTGTCCTATTCAGGGTCGTGGGGGGGTCTAACACATGGCAGGAAACAACCCAGGATGGGATGCCCACCCATCACAGGGCACACTCACACATGCACACCTATGGACAATTTGGTAACTCCAATTAGCCTCTGCACGTTTTGCTTCACTGAGACTGGAGGTGGTGACTGGTGGAGCCTCGAACCCTGGTCCCAGAGGTGTCAGGCCACTGTGCTAACTGTGCCACCCTTAACATTTCGTATGATGACCCTCGGACAGATTAGGTCTCATATCTTTTTATTCTCTTATTTTTGGCAAAAAATAAAATTTGCCAAATTTTTTTGGCAGTTAAATGATGTCACATTGGATCACCGGTAAACAACAAGCCTCAAGACCCTTCCCTAACTCTCAGATGGATTCAAAGAGATGCTTTTGTGGGGGCGACCTTGTGTTGTTTTTGCTCCAGAACTCTGGAGCTGGTGCCACCATCATATGAAAGATTGAATATGTGTCAGTGAAGCTGGTTTTCCAGAAGAAGATGCCTACATTTAGGGCTGTCATTTCACCTTCCATAATGACAAGAGCCACATGTTCTTGCTGACTGAAAAATACTCGCATAACAAGCTGTTGTCAAGGCACAGTAGGGATTGTAATATGCTGGGTAATGCAATGTCTTAGATGCACTTTCTCAGGGAAATTTGCTCATAACTACCTGTCTCTTGCCAGTCCCCCATAAAGACCAAGTCTGTTTCATGCATGAACTGTTGATAGTCATTTATCTCAGCTAAGGAGCTCTGTGAATCAGAGTTGGGAGGTGGGAGTACACAGGGTGGGGGTTCATGCTGAATAGGATGCACTACTTACAGATTAATGACTTGAAAATTAAATTTAGATCATAATGTGATGTCGTTCTCTGTTTCTAACGCAGTGAATACTGGTTTTACATTGACGACCAAATACACACATTAAGATGTGTATATTTGATGCCAGAAACTCGATTGTCCATTTCTGAGAGTGAAATGTATTCATAAGAGGTCATTTATGGAAACTTTATGTCCAAACACTTACTGTTTTTTTTGTTTCCATTCAGCTGATTTTGGAGACTATGACCAGTTCCCGTCTCAGGATTACCTTCGGGATTATACATTATTTCCAGTGGTGAGATCATCCAGTATATTACTTGTTATTCAAATGCACATTCTCTTGTAAAAGTGATCATGTGTTTATGTTAGAGATGCACCGATACCGATATTCGGATCGGTATCGGCGCCGATCC